AATCAACCAAGATGGCTGAAAATAAATTTCGTTTGCCATGTTTAAGCCTCGATTCTCGCTAGTGAACTGTATGCCATTTTACGCATCGGCAGCAGACCCCACAGTCAAGCTCGTCTGACCCACATTTCGTAGCCACACATTTTGCGCATCCTCACCGAACACCACCGTCAAGCGCATCACGCGTTGGCTGCACTGTCCCCACAGCCGGCGCACTTCACGGTCATATAGAGTGCTGTCAAAAAGCTCTAGTGATGTGATTTAGCCTTGCTTGGAGCCGTGCTTGTTATTGCGCTGTGCGTCTATGAATGTTCTGAAACTATGAAAGCCTCGTAGATCAGCGTTTCCGCGACCAGCCGTATGATGATGCATTTAATGGCGAGAGTGACCAAAAAAGGTGTATGAAGCAGGCGTACGAATTTTTATCTGCCCGACTCGCGTCAATAAATAAACTGCTAAATAATTCCTGGGCTCCCAGTTTCCTGCCCATAACTGTTCGTTATTTGAAAAGTAGGTAGGCCGTCATGGTGTGAGCCACTTCCTGATGCAATTAATCTCTCTCTATATAAAAAATGCTCAGTGATTCTTTGCAATCAAAGAAACTACTTAATTATGCTAATGACAGCTTGGACATAATAAAGATGTATAATCATTTCCGTATATGGCCTTATTCAATTATAATCTTTTCTATCCTGCCTATCACACCACTCCATCATACAGAGAACTCAGTTCAGTTTGAAATCCATACTTGTTCTTCGTAAATCAAGAAAGGAGGTTATGAAAAAAAAAGGATTCAAAGGTGAACTGGGGAGAGGCCACATGTCGGAGAAGTCAGATATCACAAGTAAAGCCAAAGATCAGCATTTCTAGGTGTTTTACAGGCATGAAAAAAAGGTGAAACTTTAAATGCAGTTTTCTTAATAGTGTTTTTTTGGCATTATGGTCAGCTCTTGGGGTAGATATCTTGGCAACCACTTCGCATATTTTGATTCCGTTTGTTTTGTAATGCTCCTTGAACTGTGCTTCAAGGGGCTACGATTCTATTTTTTCATTTTACTTTTTCAAGAATGTTTCATAGGGCTTCTTGTTTATCGTGCAAGTGTGCTCATTGCAGTGTCCCTGGAAAAAACAAACTACAAGTTTTAGTGTTGCAAAAAAAATTATTTTAGAAACACAGCCCCCTTCAGCATACATTTGGCTATTTGTACAGTAATTACCAACTATTTACATTATTTTATAAATCCTCCAGCCACTCCACGAAGTTCAATAAATAAGTAATTTGCCTGTCATAAAGTTGTTGTGGAAGCACCTTGAAATATTTGTAGAAGCTCTCTGAGACTATTCCTAGTGTCTGTGCCACTTTTCATCAAGATCTAACCAGAAACAAGAAAGTTAGTCTCCTCAAGTCTTCAGATATATATACATTTTTTGCGAGGTCCCAAAGTAAGAACTGTCAGGGGGACTTCCTATTAAAAAGACGGCCAAACCAAGTCAGACTAAACATGTTCGCAATGCCCAAACTTTGTAAGAGACCCTATAGCATCTTATGATGCGCCTGACCTTTTTCTCACTTCTTGATGTGCCTGTCTATTGACACAATATGACTTCAAGTTACATGTGCTAGCTGGCACTTATGCCCCCCGAATGGTTTGCAGCGCATGTGCCTGCGGGACCTAGCTGCAAGTGACCCGTGCTGGACACAAAAGAACGAAGAGGAAAAAAGAAGAATGAGTTCTCGAGACTACTAGGAGATTTCGTTCTAGCTGTTTTTTTTTATTCTCGGGCACAAGGTTTATTAAAAGTGTTCTTTTAACTGTGCGCTACAAATTTGGTGAAGTGCCGGGTGTGATGCCAAGCCCCTCTCGAGTGATTGAACACAGTCCAGAAGCACAGTGACTTGGATCCAACAAGCTGACCCCTGTTGATCAGCACTGCAGTTGACGCCTGTGTGATGAGGGTCCTCAATTTTCACTTTTGTCTACTTCCCTTTAAACCTCAACGGTTGTGAACGGATACGCAACCGACATGACAGCTTAGGTCACTCCAGCTAACATTGTGGTGAACCAGCCGATGCTACCAAAGCCTTTCCACGGTGACAGCTATGAGGACGCAGAGGACTGGCTTGGACATTTTGAATGCGTCGCAAAGGCCAATGAATATGGGATAGATCGCAAACTTGGAAGTGCTTACTTCACGCTGCAAGATAGCGCACGAACGGGCAATGAAAACCACTAAGCTGCCTTCCGGTCGTGGGAGGACTTTTAACAGGAGCTGCTCGCTGCTTTCCCAATGCAAACTGCAAAGAGAGAGCCGATGCTGCACTCCAGACAAGAAACCAGCGCAATAACAAAAGTGTGGCCATGTATGTGGAAGACATATCTCGCCTACTCCGCCGAGCGGATCCAAATATGAGCGAAGACAGGAAGCTGTTTCATCTAATGCAAAGCATGAAGCAAGAACTCTTTGCCAGACTAGTTTGGAGTCCACTGCGCACCATCACCGAGTTTCATTCTGAGGTGACTATGATGGAAAGGATGCTACAACAGCGAGCAAGGATATACAACCGAGATGCGAACATCACTTCCCTGAACTTATTGCCACCAGTATTTGGAAACAGCATGGAAGCACTACACAAGCTAGTACAATCTGTTGTGCGAGAAGAGCTCCAGAAGCAGCGCCTTGACCAGAATGCTCCAATGCTTTCACCCCTGGTTGACGTGATCATGAAGAGGTTAGGCGGGTGGTACAGGAACTTTCGGGTAACGCACAGCCAGAAGCACCACTACAACAGCAGCCAAGAATGACCTATGCCAATGTGCTACTCCGAGAATCTCCAAATGTGCGGACGTCACAGCCTCTACGCCTATGCAGTACCCGATGCCGCCGAGCACCGCCCAAGAGGAGACTCAGGAAGAGCGATGTCTGGTGCACTACCGACAGGGGACCCCTTTGTTACCACTGTGGGTAGGCTGGTCATCTCTACCGAACATGCCAGTACCGCAAGGCAGGAGTACGTGGTTTCCTTGTGAATGCACCTCAGTCACGAAACGGTGAGCGCCCCTTCGAAATCGGGGAATACCTGTCAAGTCATCAAAGCTCAAATGGCTTCAACAACACCAACCTCGAGCAACAACCACGAGGAGGTAGAGGTCACCAAACCCCCACTTTTCAGCAAGCTTCCCAAGGTCTCGTTCCCCAAACCTGCGCCGAGAAAGCTAGAGTCAGCGACTTGTGGCGGCAAGGCCGCTGTCGACGCTAATGCAGAAAATCCTCGATCGTTGACTCTGAACGATGACCGACTCAGACACTGGTGCTTTGATAGTGACATTGATTCCAGTTTACGTGTGTTCGTTGATGGCTACGAAGTCATCACACTGGTAGATACAGGCACAGATTATTGAGTGATAAGCAGCAGGCTTTCTAAAATACTGAAGAAAGTGCCGACTCCTTGGAGGGGACCACAAGTTCGCACAGCAGGAGGGCACCTCATCGACCCAACCTGGAATATGCCCAGCAAGAATCGTAATACGGGGTTTTCATCAGCCTTCATCAAATTCATGAACATCACCTGTTGTCCTAGTGAAGAAAAAAGACCAAACCTTACATTTCTGCATCGATTACTGGAAGTTCAACGCCCTCACCAAACAGGATATTTATTCTCTTCCAAGAATTGATGACACTCTGGATAGGCTGCAAAATGCCAGGTATTTTTCCTCACTGGATCTTGAAGGGACCCTGCAACACTTTTTGAGCATGGTCAGAAAATGCTGCCGATCGGTAGTACAGGCTCTCGGCAACACGTGAGCCAAATATTATAGCACAGCACGCGGCCTGGATTTCACAATAAATTATCATAGTCAGCTAAAAATTGCTTTCTCTTCTCTCGACAATCACGGAATAAGCCCAAAAAACACTCATAGTAAGCCTATCTATCAGCCATTAGCTGATTAGAACATCCCGCGCTCGGTCGTTACAGAGATTGCCGCGAGAGGCCGTAACTTGTCCACGCGTGCGCGCACGATCACACTGAAAAAGCCGCGCATTTGGAGAAAAAAAAATGGAAAAAGTGCTCAAGCTCACGAGATGCACGTGACATTTTACTATGCATCTGCCATCCCTCCCTGCTTAGCTTCTAGCGCATTCATCGGCACGAGAGAAAAGAGAATGCAATCGCAGCATGCGAGGAATCATTGTAACTCCACTCGCACTGGACGAATTCCTTTAATTTTTGTGGCGTTTAATTTGTGAGGCAATAAGCTCTTCCAGAGAGTTCATTCCATGGCTACTTGAAAAAGTGTTTCAGAGCCCCTTTAAAAGTGAATATTGGCAGATAGAAGTTGACAAAAGAAATCGGAAAAAGACAGCATATGTGACACCGGACAGTTTATATGATTTCAAGGTATTTCCCTTTGGCCTTTGTTCAGCACTTGCCACATCATAATGAATGATGGACACAGTGCTTTCCGGTCTGAAATGGCAGTCGTGCGTGGTTTATCTCGACGATGTTGCAGTATTTTCTGCTACCTTCGAGCAACATTTAGAAAGGCTCCAGGCTGTGCTCACTGCTATCAAATCAGTGGACTTGACAACAAAATCGCAGAAATGTCATTTCTGCTTCCGTTAACTAACAACTAAAGACACAGAAAATGAAGTTGCGAAAACTTACATTTTCCATGATGTGAATTATGCTGGTCTTCTACAACCATGGATGCACATGAATAAAGATAGTAATATTTGATATGAGGACTCATAATTACCCACCGTCTTCTGATACTTATCTTGCTGCAGCTGCCCAAAATCAAACAGAACTACAGTCCAGCTAAAGCTTAAAGCAGGTGCACTGCAGATAATAATACCTGAACTGAGAACAGTGAAGTTCTCAATATTCTTAGGTTCTTCTTAGGTTCCACATAAATTTTTGGGTAATAGGTTCTGGCATGTATGTATGAGTAAAGTGAGAAAAAGGAAACCAGAAAGCTATGTTCTAAACATCAAAGTAGTACCCATCTCTGATGCTTGTTGAGCGAGTACTTTGCAGACAAGCGAAGGGTCTGCCACGCCATCACCAGGCACCCACAGTGCGCCCTGGAAGAGACGAGACCTCATGATATCAAATGATTCACATTTCAACAAACTAATGCACATCATACAAGTCATGTGCCTTATCACTTCCATAAAAATTTCTTTCTGTAATCACTGTCAGAGTAATACAGACCAAGACTGTGTCAACATTGTAAACATTTCCCCATTCTTTTCGAAAGGCAACATCCACACATAAAAACCTTATTCAATGCTCAAACAAAGAAACATCTTCAAGAAATGAGAGCCACAGAGTCACAAATGTCACATAATCTGGTGTATCATGAATTACAGACGTTTTTAGTGAACTTCTTTATAGAACACAGCCTTCATTCTTTCAAAACAATAAGAAAAAACATTGTTTCCACTGAAAATCGAAATCTTTTTAATAGGGCAATGGAACAATGCCAAGCCCAGCATTAAAGTATGTAACTTGTTTCTTTCATGGAGTAACTACCATTTACATATAAATTTAAAAATCTTAGAAATTAGAAATGTTATGTGAGGACTCATAGGTCAGCCAAAATTGTAGATGTCACTCAGACTGACTCATAAAATGTATTTTGTGCTTAGTGTGTTAAATATTGTGAATATTTATGCCAAGAAAGAGCAGAATAAAGTGTGGGCATGAGAGGAGAGCTCATGTCAGGTGTGCGCCGAATGATAATTTGCCGGACATGAACGAATTTGTTATCTTTCAGAGTCATTAAAGCCTTTGTTTTGTTCTACTGGCGAAGTCACCTTTATTCAACGTTTTATGGTGCCGAAACCCAGGAGAAAGGGCCTTCGGAGGCGAGACAAAGTGGATTTCCCGACTTCTATACCGCATCTGCAGCCTGGAGGATTTTGTGAAGCCACCGTTATGTGAAGCTCGTGAACGATGCCTAACCATCGTTGAGACCCAGATCATGAAGAATGACATGCCAGAACAGACTAACCTTCTCGAGCCGGCTGTCGTTTGACTCCGACTTCACCTCGTGACACGGCCGGCCAGTGATTTCTCCGCTTCTAACATAGAACTGGATCATGGAGGCCCTCTTCGAAAGGTGAAGTCAAGTACGCAAGGTCGTCACGCAGGTCATAGCAGATATTGAACGTCTTTCACATATGGATCACCCATCAATAAGTGAGTTGAACAATTTTCAGCGAATTTCAATTGGCCAGTACGATGAGCTCAGAAGGATTGACAAAGAAGTAAAGGACACAGTTTATATCGATCGTTTGGAAGCTGAGATGAATGAAGAGAACGTTTATGTTCACCAGATTATTCGAGCCAAAGCCACAGCAGGATATAAGATTGCAGATACATTGCATGCATGACCAAATACATGTGCATAACGAACAACTGGAGGGACTCCTCACAGATAAGTAAACAGCTGAGAAGTGCCTATTGGTCTTGAAGTATGAAGACAATGCAGCAGCAACACTGTCCTTTCTCTCGTATCACATCGAGCAACTTAGGCCTGAAACAACGGTGGACCGAGCCCTACCAATACCCAGCGATGATGCAACTCCAGGTACAGCTTCAGCAAATCATTCCATCGGTGATGCATCAAGAGTCAAGACTACCGAGGCTTGACTTGGTTCACTTTAACGGAACAGCGCTACAGTGGCAGCCGTTCTGGGGCGTATTCAAGCATGACGTCCATACAAACGGCGGCCTGGCGAACGTTGAAAGATTTCAGTACCTGAAATCTCTTTTGGTTGGACCAGCGACCAAAGTGATTGAGAGAATTCAGGTGATGGATTCTTTATATGCAGATGCCGTCAAAATCCTGACCAACCTGACCAAATCAAAATCCTGACCAAATCCTGGCACAAGCGTCAGAAGCACCGATGGAAGAGCAGGCACAGGAGAAAATTCAGATTGTCACAAACTGATTGACCTGTAATTGGTACAAGTACTCGTGAATGACCAGCATGTGCTTAAAACATGGGTGCATTAGAGTTCTTCATTGTCAGGCATCACTTTTTAAAAATGGCATAGTTTGGTCATGTAAACTAAGAATACCAAATGACTCTCAGCCGTTCAGGCCTGCACAAATCTTTACCCTTTAGAAATCACCACATCAGGCCCGGAGTGTGTTAAATATTAGAAGAAAAGAAGGACATAGACGTGACCAGTGCATGGAGCGTGTCTGGGACTTGTCATTAAGAACGACCAAGAATGGATGGGTTGCAACAGTGCTCTGGGCAATAAAGTCTCCCCATTTTCCATCTTACCAACAAGGAGGTGTCCTTTCTTCTACCTAGGGTTCACTCAGACTCAGACTTACCAAAATTTTCCTGAGCTGAACTCACTCGGACTCAAACTCAAAGATTTTCTTGAATAGGACACACTCGATCTCAACTTCACTCAAATATTATTCATCCAGGCTTACTCAGACTACAGCTTGAACTGAGTATGAGTGAGTCGACTCATGAGTGAGTTCACTGACCTCTGCATGAGGTAGGAGAAAAAACTTCAATCTTACCACACCCATAAGAAATGTTTTAGAAGCATGCTTTCCACATTTTTAGCCAGTAAATACACAATATTTATCGCAGTACAACTTCAGTACCAAGCAAGCTCATTGATGAGTTCACTCACTTCTAACAACTCGGTTGTGATGTCGGGAGCCTTTGACTGTACCTCTGTTGGAGACAGCAAATGGCACTCAAGGTTTAGTGACCTAAAAGACAGAAAACAACAGCGTACAGAACGGTAGCAAGTTACTGAGTGATGAACCATGTGTAAAAAAAATATGGATGCAAAAAGTGCCTGCAATACAAAGGACATGCAGCTAACAATGTTTAAGAAGTTCTTGACAACTGGTGATAACAGGTAAGAGCAACAACCAACAAAAAAATACTTTTGAGGAAAAGTATCTCTTGGTTCATATGAAGCTTTCAGAATGACTTGAAGTAAAAATACATTTGATTTGGAGCACACTGAGCACACATTACTTAAAAATTTGTAGCTGTTGCCGCTAAAAGAAATACACTCTCCAGTAATGTTTCCAGTTTTCTTAGGAACAATGAAATCTTTCTAAAGTGTAATATAATTCAAATGGCTTTCTGTAATTATTAAGGCATACCAATAACCATATGACAAGTAAAATTTCAGCTCATAAAATAACAATTATAAAATATTGTACATATTTTAGGAAAGTAGAAGTGGAAAACGTCTTGACTGGTCTCATCCACTTCTTTAGACAAAATAAAAAGGTACACATTAATGAGCTAAGCAATTAGTGTGAAAATGGACTTGAGTTTAACCTAAAAGAACAGAGCCAATTTTTACTCATTGCACATCAGTTTTAGCACCATCTGATACCATTTTCAAAAGTGAGTGACCTATAAAAAAGTGTATTTGATATAAAAAATTGAGACACAAAAATTGTTTTCATGCGTAGAAGCAGGACAGTTACCCTGTACAAAGGCCATACTTTGGCACCACCACCATCTCAAGTGCATAAATCATAAGGCAACCAAATTTACTGGCAGCTGCGAGAGTCAATACTCAAGATGCTCTGAATGATTTTTGAGAAGCCACAATAAGATGCTTAACCTCTACAAAGCTTTACTGTAGCTTTGCAGAACATGCAAAAGTTTAGGCCTACATATTACACTTAATGTCTGCTAAACGCAGAATATTTCTGAGAATATTTCATACACTTAATGTTCCTCATGGCAGAACTATGTTGCTCAAATGGTAATACAAGGTTGCTTATAACTAGATCTGTACAAATAGCAAAATTTTGGGCCCCAAGCAAATTTGAATACTGAAGTGTGAGTGCAAATTAAATTGACTATTTTTCGAAGTTGCTGAGGATTCCTAAGCACTTTCACATTAGATGGCAACATGGAAGTGTTTCTTTTGGCTAGGTTGGTGAAGTGCTAGAGGGGTGCTGTTTCCTGGTTGTTTTATCAACTACAATAATAATATCTGGAGTTTAACATCTCTAAACCTTGATATGATTATGAGAGACACCGTAGTGGAAGGCTTCAAAAATTTTGACCATCTGGTGTTCTTTAACATGGACTGACAATGCACAGCACATGGGCTTCAACCATTCCACCTCCACCGAAATGCAACCTCTGAGGCCGGGATCAAACCGGCGTTTTCAGGTCAGCAGCAGAGCACCGTAGCCACTGATCCACCGCGATGAATATAATCAAGGATGAGGCAATACACAGATCGTATTGTATTTATTTACATGATTTGGTACAACCATGCAATGTGGTGTCGACAGCCCTTTACACGTGAAAGTAAAAAATTATTTCCTCCACTTTTCTACTCCTCAACTTCTGTGCAGGCCTAACTAATTTAGTGGACAAGGGCATGCTCTCTTCTAATTTGGAGTTGTTAATCTGCTTTGTAGATGTCATGTATAAAAACATATAGAATTTCAGATGCTAAAAATCGTCTAATTTTTTGGACAATTTTCTCAGACCTTTTGGTCTCAAAAAACATTAAATAATGCCCCTACCTCTGCCACACAGGTTCGAATGAGCGCTTTCATAAGTCGATTCACTTAAGATCATAGCATAGCCCTAAAAATAGCTTTGCTGCAGGACCAGAGTTTAATGTGGTGAAGCATAATAATTGATATGTAGGGTTTAACGTTTTAAAACCACGATATGATTATGAGAGATGCCGTAGTGGAGGGCTCCAGAAATTTTGACCACTTGGGGTTCTTTAACGTGCACCCAAATCTGAGCACACGGGCCTACAGCATTTTCATCGCCATCGAAAATGGTGCCACCGCAGCCGGCATAGGATCCCGCGACCTGCGGGTCAGCAGCAGAGTACATCAGCCACTAGACCACCGCGGCGGGGCGCGGTGAAGCATATTAAAAATATGAAGGGGCTATTTTAACGCTGCATTGCATTTCCATATCGGAACCAGCATTTTCTCGAGTCAATACACTTGCTACCGTAGCAGCCTGAAGAATAGTTTCGACACAACGTAAAAATGTAATGGGGTGAAGCATATAACAAGACCTGAAGGGGCCATTGTCAGTTGGATGCTGACTATTTGTCGTTACAAAGTACGAATACTTTAAATGGTCAAAATTAAAGTGCATATCAAATTGAATAGCAAACACTATTAAAAAAATATTGAAAAGTTGCAATATTCACACACACACACTTATCACCTCAAGTAGTCTATATTCTCACGGCATTTCTCAAGCATTCAAGGAAGTTTATACAAATCTGGGAACACATTCCATGCATTGCCTGTTTCAGCCCCACGTAGAAACACGGTATCATCTGCTTATAACAATACAACTTCGAAAAGCACATATAGATACATAATAACATAATAATGTGAACTTCGAGTGTTCTGTTGTAAAAGAAACCATCCAGTGCTATTTCATGATCTGCTGCAATACTTTGATATAGCTCTAACATATCTATTACACTACATAGAACAGGTTTGATTTTTGCCATAGCAGTAACATTTCAATGGGGACAAAATTAAAAAATGCCCATGTTACCTAGCTTAACCCATATTACCCCTAGCTTCAAGAAGAGGGTCTTAAAAAAAACTATTATCCTACTGCCATAAAAATTACCATGCATGTATACCACTGAATGCAGATTTCAAATCTACAAACAGATTTCGAATATCTCATTTAGAAAAAAAATAATGATAAATTTTCACATTATAATTAGGTAATTTCTCACGGGTCGTTTTGATAACTTACAATAAAAAAGGTTAGTTTGATTTCAAAACATGTTTCTTCTAAGAGGTTCATCTCACAGGCTAAAGCAAACTAGATGTCAAAGCAGTTATTTCTTTGATCAGAAATAATTTTTAAACTTGGAAGGTAAAAATGAGCTTCCGGTAATTAGCTAGTATTTGTCATATAATTAAATTATATCAACATTGAGAGAAAAAGAAAAGCTTTAGCCTGTAGTTGAAGTGCTGCAAAAAAGAATGGTACCAAGTTTGTTTAGATATGTTCAAAGAAACTTGCTCAAAACTTCTATAAGGCACATTCACTTCACAAAAATGACAACGCCAAGAAAATTATCTTTTCAGTTTTAAAAGCATTTGTAATTTCATATATTACGGTTTTAGCAAAAAGAAATGGTATTTCGCCATAATATGAATTTTTCCAAAACATACTTTCGACTATAAATACCTCAAATCGCAATCTTTGAAAGTCAGCACTTTTTACAATTTTGCGCTATTTTAAGACCCTTGTCCTCTCTTAAGTTGCACAGTAACCCAGTTGGTTGAATGCTATCTTTATATAGTCGCTAACAATTACTTGCCTCATAACTAGTGTTCTTTGCTTTCGTATAAATCCAAAAAAATATAATAAGCACTTTCTAGCGAAATTTCTGACGACTCATTTATTCGATAAACTCCAATTTAAAATGGGCCCTTTCGAAATTCAAAGAGCATTTTCAAAGCTGACAGAATCATCAGTCAAAAGGAACACACCTCCATCAGCCAAGCAACTTCGTAAAAGATGTTAGCATCTATTACAACAAGCTTCAAGGTTGTAATACAAACATGTGTAGCTCTCTTGTATTCAAGTATTTGTGCTTTCATGTACATGTGTTTGCACGTTCAAACCTTCCAGACATCTGAAATACACCTAGCGTGCTAGCATGTTTTTGTGTTCAGATATCATTTCATCTAAAATGTCTTTATTTGTCATCAAAAAGATGAGGGGCGTGAAAAAAAGCTGAGAAGCAGCTTGACTAGCTCCTGTCTCCTAACCCCCCCCCCCCCCCCCTTATTAGTGCACTTTGGTGAGTTTATAGCGGTGCACATTAACTGCCTCATTAACAGTGTAAATGAACAGAAAGTGAGAAAAAATAAAAGGATGAAGAAACAGGATTATCAGCAAAAGCTTAACGCATTTTCAATGAACCCAAAATTAATAAGAATTCATTGCAAGAACTTATATAGAAAAATTAAACACTGAATTTAAACAAATTTGAGGTTTACGTGAAAAATCTTTAATAAACATAAACTTTCCTATAAAAAAATAGACTACAAAAACATAAAGCACTACTCGAAACAGACTATGCCTTTAGCACATGAAATCCAAGAACTGTATTGAATTTGTTTTACAGTGAAAACTGTTATGAGGTTACAAGAAGGATAATTTTGGGTGCCATATTTGTCTGCCGTCACCACCGGCGTCTGTAAATACTGTCACAAAAACTAAGTAAACAAAAAACACCGAGGACAGAATGGGATTCGAACCCAAGTCCCCTGTATGCCAGCCCAGTATTCTACCACTGAGCTATGCCGGTGCCTGAAAACTCCATTGCAAACTGACCCTAGGCAGCCTTTATGCTGGGAAAGGAATCGCATCAACATTAGTAATAAAGCATTTCAGAGCAGCAAAGGAACAACCAGGTGTCGCACAGTGCAGATTGCATAACAACTGGGTCGTCGAATGCTCCAATTCATTACCAAAGCCTGAGGCATAATTCTTCATCGTCGTAAGCCACAGCATCACAAAATTGCACAAAATTCCTCGGAAGTGCTTAGTGGGTACCATGCTTCTTCGAAGAATGATGAAGAATGGCATAGTGTATGCCTCCATTTTACACAAAAATTATGATGATCTCTGGTGTAGTGGGTACCCTACAAGTGTGCTTGTAGCAGTTACCCTAAGAGTGTTTAAAAAAGGCTCTAGCAAAACAGCTCTTCCAGCTTTCACTGTGACTGTGCTATGCGTTCACACAGGCCTGGTGGTTTTTCATATAATTGTAATAATTGTATTGAACAATGTTTTTCATGTCGGGTCACCACTTATAACTATGAAAACAATTAAGTTGTAAGAACTAAAAAACAAAAATCAGATGCAACTTCCATATGACAGCATAATATTACAAGTACATTTGTGTGTGAAGCATGCTCCTCCCACTACAAAGCCTTCACTCAATGCTCTATATATGAAAGCTAAGTGACAGAAGTACTGCAAAGACATCTTTCCAGCATCTCTGCTCAAATAGCCTTAATCACTAACCAGTCGTAGCCACTATAAACATTGTAATTAAGACACAATATACAGGTTCGTTGTAATGCTTTTTTATGTTGTAATAGAATAATCTACTATTAGCGCATGACACTTCACGGACCACATGCCGCAAGTTTTTTTAAAATCTTCAAGTTCGAGCACAGTTACAGGTTTTGTCGCATGCTTGAAGCACTCGCTCTCTCCATTCGTGCCAGCGAGCGGGCTGAAAGCTATGTAGGGAGGGGGACGACAAGAGAACGTAAGAATAAGCATCCCTTCATTAGCGTGTGCCATAACCTTGACCCCTTTCATTTATTGTTTTCCAACATACTTTCAGTGCGATTTCGAGGGTGCATGCGGGTATGTGGCGACACCTTGTGGTGGCTATAATAACTACAAAGCAAATCAGTCAACCGCCATGGCCATGGGTATACAGTGCAGAAATTCGGGTATATGGAATCATTTGTAGAAAGAAGAAGGAACAATTTCTAATTGACTTTGGGAATTAATAGTAATTTCTAAGCCACGAGCCGTGCTACAATGTTTGGCTCATGTGTTCTAAGGAGTCTCGACTACCGATCGGCAGCATCTCCTGACAATGCTCAATAAGTGTTGAAGGGCCTTTTACATCATAGAGATGCATCCTGGCAATCCTAAAGTTCCATTCTGGTGCATCTTGTGTGTAATCAACATGATTTTGCAATGTGGTAACAACTAGCGTGCACTTTTCTTCCCCTGCACTTTGGCTCTGATATTTCATGCGACAGATGGAGAGGTTATTAATGATAACTTTGTGACACCTCTTCGATGCATAGTCCAACAGTGAGAGAGGAGGAAGTGTACAATGACAATGCTGAAAATATAAGTGCAGAATTATCTAATACAACAACAACAACAAGAAGGTATGTGGTTTGTGTACAATCATGAAATCTCGTGGCTGATGATCTTAATGATAATTCATTCAGAGTGCAATCTTCCTGAAAATTGGCACACCATTGCCAGTAGACAAGAGGATGTAAAACACAGCCCAGAAAGACACAGTACAAATGATTTCTAATCACTTGTGCAGAGAACACTGGGCTGATCCATCCAGACAAGGCAAAGAAATTAGTTAACTTTCTTTAAGATGTTGATTTCCATTCAAGTGGAGGCTGGACCCAACGTTTCAAGGAGAGACATTGAACTCTGTACAAGGTAATCATCACTCAACTGAAGACAGCAAATCCTGAGGATGTGTTCACTTGGCCGTACAGCATGAGACAAGCACTAATTTCAAAACACTTGTCATTAAAAGTGGCATAACACACAATAGTCTTTCAAGTAGTTTCATCGGCAGGTGTGCAAGGTTAATGAGTACCTTCACAATGACCTCCCTTGTCACTGTTAATTTTATGCACTCTACCAACCTCTGAGGGAAGAATAAATTTTGGAATTTTATGTATTTGATTGATTGATTTGTGGGGTTTAACGTCCCAAAACCACCATATGATTATGAGAGACGCCATAGTGGAGGGCTCCGGAAATTTTGACCACCTGGGGTTCTTTAACGTGCACCCAAATCTGAGTACACGGGTGGAATTTTATGTATGAAAACCTTGATGTGCTTATGAGGAATGCCACCGCAGGGGGGCCCCAGACTAATCTGAACCACCTGTAAAGCTTGTACGTGCACGTTGCATGAGTAATTTGGCAATTCATCCCATGCCCTCTCCGGGAGAATCAATTCCGCCACCATGTGCCAAGCAGCCAAATGCCATAGAAACTGAGCTACTGCAAATAGTTGCACAAGAAAGGCTCTTAGAGGGAAAATAATACATGGACTACTATTGTGTTGCAATGCTCATTTTTGGCAAGGGATGTCAAAATGTTGTTCTTTGAGATATCTGGCAAATGATAGCGGCTTTAGTACTGACCTAACTCAATTTCACCATTGCAACTTACTTTCCAAAATGACTGATTCAGAATTCAGTCTATCCAAGTAAGCATCAATTATTATGAAGCAGAGCAAAAAGTAATTGTTACAGGCAAAAGAAGAAACTCAACAAAAGACAGGTAGACATGTACATAAATAAGCTACATCTGTGTGAAAAGAAGTTACTAAGCAGCTGATAGGTTTAAATCACTTAACTTTTATTGTGGTCACAGCTGTTAAGAAGTTGTCTAGTAGTCTTTTGAGTTTACGCTGGAGAGAAGTTAGTTATAAGTTGCCAAGATTTTCTAATACCATAATTAATGATGTACTCCAAGCCCTCATTCTTGCTAACTTAAATTTTTTACCACACAACCATAGGGCAAATAATAATTAGTATAGTGCATGATTAAATTACAAGGGCCAAGAGCTCCGTAGCTGTGTTTCTCTTCAATAAGATAACCGTACAGTTATATCTACTAATGTATGCAGTCAAAGAATATCATAAGTTGATGGGATGCTTTTTTAGTAATCAAGCAGCACAAAAAGCAGACAGTGAGGTACGCATGAAGAGAATCGAGTGTAATACACTCCCGTCAACCACCCCCTGCAGGTTAATGTTGTGACTTGCTATGCAAAAGCAATATAACAGACAGTCAATGCACTTCGTGCAGTAAGTTTTCCACTTACGCTGCCATTGCTGCTAGTCTCTTGAAGTAAAAGAGGCGGTCTTTTGTGCGAGCGAGAAGAAGACTTCCACACTGGTTCCATCCTAAACATGACAAACAGTGTTGTCACACAGTGCCTAGTTACAGAGTTATCACACAGTGTCTAGTCTTGCCCCTCACAATATTAAGCACTCCTTCAGAAAGAAACTTTGTATGAAATAAGTCCAGTTTTATGCCAGCAAAAAAATAAAATCTGTTGTAAAATTTGCACTTAATTTAGACTTCCACTCACTATGAATATGAAAGTGAAGAAAAGGCATTGGCATGCCATTGATAGTTAGAATACAACACTAACTCGAATCAAATTTAAAGAAAAGAAGGTATGACTGCTGCTGCATATGAATGCACTTGTTAATTCTATCGCGAGCACTGGTGGACCACCAGATAAATACACTTCACGCGTAGCAACAACTGTGATTGTTTACCGACCAGGCTCAATAAGCGGTAAACTGCTCCCAAAACTCTGTCCATTTACACACATCCCCAGAGAAGGGCCCAATCGTGAGCTTCTGTAGCTTGGCTCCCGTCCTGTCGGAGGTGTAGCGAGCGCGATCGTATGGGTAGCCATCACGGATCCATCTTCTCCTTGTGCACTTGAAATGCGTTTCTGCCTGCTTGGAAGCTCTGACAGGATTTGCGTTGTGTTGTCCTCGTACTCTACAATGGTATCGTACTCGGCTTGGAAGTCCTCATCCAAGATGAGACTCTCCAATTCAGAGTTAATCTTGTCCGGCTCATCGTTATTCGTTTTGAGTCTCTCGTACTTGGAACCGAGCTGCTCATACGTCGTGGAGTCATTGCGAAGTAGGACACTTGCCTCAACGATAATCCAACTGTTCAAGGATCGTCGCGACATCCGCGTTGCCTTGATCTTCTCCATGCCTTCCAGGCCACCCGTAGTTGTTGCTTGGTCAATCTCGGGTCGATCGGCACCAAAATGTATGGGATATGGCATGGAGCAGCCGTGGAAAAACTCGATTACGTAGAGATAGCTAAAGAGAGGCTTTTATTTACACTGACATTAAGACCCTGTCACTACTCTGATAACCCCGTTTCTTTTCTCGTGCTTGTTGGTACTTCTTCCTCTTTGTCTGGTGGTCCTCCAGCACTTGCAATAAAATTAACAAACTTTTTCTTTTTTTTTTTTACGTTTTGGAACAGGAAGACTGTGGACACAGCAAAGATTCAGTGATGCAGTTCGAGGCATGAAACCCAATGCATAATGAAAGAGTATAGGAAATACATGACACTAATAGTTTTTTGCAGTTTCAAAACTAAACAAAGAAATTCTTGATAAAATATGGGGCCAAATATTACAAGTTTAAAACACTATTTTTGTACTACCCATGGCATATTCACTGATTTCCATACTGGAAAGGATTACTTGGAAAGGAATTACATAACTTAAGCTGGAAATAAAAAATACATAATTGTATAATTAATAAAATTTTGCTAATGAACTTTTTACCTTACCATCTTACTTACATATTACAAAGCACAACCTAAGGCAAGTCACCTCTTAAAGCACATCCAACTGGAATAAATTTTACCCTAGTATTAGATAATGGTTAAAATTCACTGTTCTCACTTACTTTTCTTACAAATGTCCTTTCATGCACTGGAACTCAAAATTTACTGAACCACCAATGCTTTTGCTGCTAATTTGGGACCACATATCTGGAACTGGCATTTCACCTTATTCAAAAAACACAATACTACACAAGACTTTTGATAATGCCAACCACAATCTATCAATAACAATATATGTAGAAACAGAATTAACTTAGACTTTATTTAGTGAAACTTGGTCAGTTACTAAAATATTCATATTGATCTTTTCTGCAAATCATGTTCACTTCTGAGAGTAATCTAGATTGAGAGGAAAATATAACTACATGTCACGAGTGTTTTTTTTTTTTAATTCTCTTAGCAAATAGTAAAAGAAAAGGCAAATAATATAGGGCTGAAAATGTGTTCAAGATACCCACCTGTGTCAAAGCCTCTACTTTCAAACTCTTTATACAGCTGAATGCTGTACTTCGAGACTCTGCACTCTATGGTTGTGGCCTTCAGCTGCCCCAAGAGACCAGCACCATGCTTAGTTGAGCCACCCCCAATCCTAGATAACATGAACAAAGTATTAATAACAAATCGTACATAACAAAGCATAGTTTGTGAGTGTGTTACTGAGTGCACATGGTTTATGTGTGTGTCGACATACATACACACCCGTAAATGTATGCTGTCGCCCTTTATGAAAAGGAACACACGAGCATGTGGCCTGCACTCTGCCGCGGCTGCCTACAGCACCATCAACCAACAGCTGAAGAAAGCAGATTCGCTTTTGGCGTCACCTATTGTCACACAAGTTAACGAGTCATGGCTGGTAGACAAGCGCTACTAGATTATGTTCTTTCACCGCTCGCGCAATGAGTGATAATGGGCAATGTCTGCAGCTCGCGCTGTGTTTGCACACCACGTTCTATTTGTTGGCAACAGATGACACTCTGCAGGCATCACCCTTTGCGCAAGCGCGGAGGATGTGTAATCTAGCAGCGCCTATCTACCTACCATGACTCATTACCTTGTTTGGCCATAAATGACGCTGAGAGTGAACGTGTTTTCTTTTGCTGTCAGTTGATGGTGCTGTAGGCTGGCGTCCCAGAGTGCAGGCCACGTGCTCGCGTGCTCCCTTTCATAAAGGACGACAGTGTACACAACATGCACATAGTCACTTAGTGCCATATGTGGCATAATGTGCCACTTGTGGTTATACTTTGTCGCCATTCACTAGATCTGTAACCACATTTACCACAGGCAATCAATATGAGTGAGTATTACAATATAGAGCAGAAACATCTACATCTTTTGGTGTCATTATATGTGGCAGTAGTAAAAGGCTGTAATAGTAGTAAAGCATCTCGTAGCACCAGCAGATTAAGGTTCTGCAGGATGAAAAAACCGCTTCATAGATTTCAAATTACCAGAGCTATGTCAAGGCTGAACCAATCCTATGCATGCAAATTTTTTTATCTCATTGCTACACCTAATTTCTTGGAAGATACAAATACATTTCTCTTCTTCTGGCACCCACCTATTCATCCTTTTATAGGCCAATGATTCACTATTCTATGCATTAAATAAACTATCTAGCTCATTTTGCTATAATAAATTATCACCTAACTGTGTTTATTCTTAAATTAACACATATCACCTTAAGAATTATGTTTGCCCAGTATGACACATTGATGCACCCAAAGGAGACGCTCATGAATTAATTCAGAAAAATCACCAGAATCGATGTTTTGAGTGAATGAATCTCCTCTAAATAAATTCACAACTTGATGTTTTTCCAGTCACTACTATTTTTGGATGAAAGCAAGCCAAACATGATGTTTAAAGTATAAATATAAATACATACAAAATGCTAAGTAAGATATATTTGCTTTTTTTTTTTTTAGGAAAATGCAGGGTATGCAAAAGTTGAATACAAATTCTGAAAGATTTATAAAGACTGTTTGAGGGTTAGAGGTTGCTAATAAAAAAATTGTTACAGTCAAAAAAAGATGGTGCTTACACTCCTTTCTCAAGCACAACAACATCAGTGAGGCCATGGTCTCTAGCCAAATGATATGCCACAGAGCAGCCTACCACACCACCTCCACAGATGATCACACGAGCTTCACCAGGAAGCTCCAAAGGGATCGCTGTGTTTTCAGCTGCCTGTGCAGCATCCACAAGCTGCGAGCTGGTGAGACAACCATGCTGTTTGGGCCTGCAAAGGTCTAAGAGCCGCAAGGGCAGCCTTGGTGACCTGACCTGCACAAGAGAAAAGTGCATCGTCTCCTAAACACAACACCAGCCATAGCAATAGTAATTTGTTGTTGCGCCCCAATTGAAGGGGTGCTCCAGCACTTTTCTAAGGAATCATCAAATGGCGTCATTAAAAGAACTTATTGCCTCACAAATTGACTGCCGCAAGAAATTTTCAAAATCCGTCCAATTGGAGAAGAGTTACAGATATTAGTGCCATGCTTTAAGTAGTTTTTAGCTCTTTCTATACCAGCAAGTGTACTGAAAGCTATGCACGAAGGAGGGTGCCAAGCGAACGAGAAGATGCATCCCTTCATCAGTGCACATCATGACCTTGAGCCCTCCTTTTCTTTATACGTGCAGCCTACTTCTGTGTGATAACGAGTGCAGATGCAGACATATGACAGCATCTTGCAGCAGCCATGGTAACTATGCAGCTCCTATTACTCAAATCAGACAATGGCCATAGACATGGAGTTTATGGCATCATTTTTCAAGAGAAGAGGGAACGATTTCCATTCAACTTTGAGAATTCCTTGCAAATTCCAGGCCCCGTGCCACACTATAATGTTTGGCTAGCATGTTCTCAGGAGCCTCAACCACCGATAGACTGTGTCAAGGAATTTCGTCAAGGAGAGTCGGCCACTTTTTCAAGAAATGATGCGGCCTGAGAAGTAAGTGTTTTGTTGCACTGTTTTATGCTATGTGTGCTACAGTGGACAGAATTTAGAAATATCAAGAAAAGCAGATGGGGGGGGGGGGGGGTGCCATTCCATGGCCCTGACCCTGACCTAAAGTGCTGTCTTGTGTCTTGGACCCAGTGAGGAACATTCTGTGGCACTCGCATGTTACTGGGTCATAACAACTACTTCTTGGTAGAAAGCATCTTATTTGTAACTTTTCTAAGCCACGAATGGTGCAGCAGCAGTTCAGCAGGATACACATGATTGTGACATCATTAGAATTTCTGTAGTTGGAAAAGAGCAGAGTTGTGAGTGTTGCACTTATAGCCAGGTAAATTTCATCCCATAGCTAGCGAAGCAAACATGTAACGCTGAGGAACATGCCATAGAAGCAAGGTATGAGCTTGAGCTAGTTCGCGAGATAGTCGACTGTCTACTCCTGTGCAATTTGTTGATGATCTTAGTACTACTCACATACTAAAAACTAAAATGTATAAAATAAGAAGTACAGCTTGTAGGTTCACTAGCACGAAGAAGATGCAAGTTATCTTTTCGTTCACTTTTATTTTTTCACAGCTACATTACAATACTACTAATAACATTCCCTATGCTTTCCTTGGTTTATTGGCTATTATTTCTCAATAATATTATCACTAATGAGTTGAATCAATGGTTAAAAAAAAGAGCTAGGCAGTACTGCTTGGCATCATAGTATTTCCCATGCCACTCAATATGTAGCAAAAACGATCGCTGTAGTCAGCGATCGTTTCACACGAAACACATGGCCCGACATCTTTGTGTACCTTGAAAATCATTGAGGAGTGTGTGGTGTATGATGCATTATTGTCAATAAAAGGTATAACTGAAAGCTAATTGCCTTGCAACAAGCACAAGTAGCGGCAACTAGGCTGTGGAGGCATGCAGCAATGCCTTCAGACAACATAGCCATATATATATATATATATATATATATATATACTGCGAGCCCTTCTCAGGCCCATGCAAAAGTTAATACGAACAGTACAAACAGATAATAAATAGTATTAATAGCTTAATAATAACTACACATTTGGACAGTCATATCAGTGTTATATATATATATATATATATATATATATATATATATATATATATATATATATATATATATATATATGTATATATATATATATATATATATATACACACACACTGCAACGAAATTGCCCTTTCAAAAAAATATTTTCAATATAAGTCCCTTATACAGAGACTAATACTTACAATGTCTTTTGTAAACGAGGCAAGTGAGGCAGTGTTCACTGCTTCTGCAGATAATGCATTCCAATGAAAAATTGCACCAAGAAAGAGAGCGAACTTGTGGACACTAATGTAACTAGCTCGCTGCCTAAAATTTTTACTGTGATTAGTCCTGGCTGAAAGTTTCAAAGGTTGTTGAAGATAATGTTCTAGTGATAATTTAAAGTAATAATAATATTATCTGAGGTTTAAAGCTCAACACCATGAAATAATAATGAGAGATGCCGTGGTGGAGACCTCCAGAAAGTTGTACCAACCGGGGTTTTTTAACATGCACCTAAATATAAGCACACGAGCCTCAAACATTTTCACCTCCATCGAAAGTGCAATTATTTAAAGTCCCAATAATAAAGTTGATAGATGAATTTTAATCTGGCTACTATTCTGCACTGCTCAAGTTTTTGTAGGCTTGCCTTGATTAGTAAATTTTCTCACATTTACATTACAATTAGGTCTAATAAATTCTCATATACTTTCCTTGGATTATTCTCTATTAGATCTCATTATTATTGTGTCTGACAAAGCCCTTAAGTATACACTTCTTTTATTTATATATACAGGGTGTTTCAAGAAATGTGTCCACTATTATTTGAAAATTAGCAAAAAACGTTATTTCTGCTCGCTGTCTTCAGAGTTGCTTTTTCTGTCGCGGCAGGCATCTTAGGAGAATCTAACACATCATTTGGAACAGTAATTAGGAAAGTTAAATAATTTTTTCTTCAATTAGTGAGGTTTGGTAGTTAAGTCAAATGGGAGAATTGAAGTCCTTTCAATGGTTCGCAGATTCTTGCTCTGAGAATCGAAGAACTCATTGTGGCTTTCAGATTTCGAAAAAACGGCCTCTTCAATAACTACTAATTTATGATGTTCTCCTAAGTTATGCAGCAAAACTGAAACTAAAAGACCGATGAGCGCAACAAGCAGACAACTACAACGACATCAGTCTCCAAGACAGTGGTTACAGGAGAGCAGTTCTTTTCTATTTGTTAAGTATGTGCATCATGCGTGCCGTGATTGCGAGTGCAGGCCACACACCCACACAATGAAGTCTGATGATGATTAGTGGAGTTTATTGGCGCAAGGGCCAGATGTGGCCAAAGAGCGCCAGAACGATGATAATGAACTGTGCGATATGCAGTATGAATAAACAGATGTGATCTGGCTGTAAATGGGCCTAAAAACAGTCGCTGTAGCTGCATAAAATATATAAAGAGTAAAATTATGGCAATTACAAATGATGTGTGCTGAAGAGACATAAAACGCTTTAAAAATGATACGTATATGAAATAAAAACTTGGGGTGGAGCACCAGTGCCTCTGCAGTGCCCTTAAACAAGAGCATGGAGGTCTGGGCTTAATAAAAGCTGCTATCACAGCGGCATCCTCTAGACAGAGGATGCGCTATCAACTTGTTGGGCTAAAAACATTGCATTTTATTTCATACTTAGTACACAAACAACATAAATGGTTACAGAACATAACAAAAAACAGCAATAAAAGGTGTATAAATAAAAACAGGAAACAAAAAGGCTAAGAAGTGTTAGTAGTTTTAGTAATGATAAAAGTGTATAACAATGAAAAACGCGGTATCGCTTCTCGAATAAAAAAAGAACTATTTACAATACGCCTAGAAAGCCAAGGACTGATTTTGCGTCGAAAAGTGGCTCTTCGCCGAGAAACATTGTAGGATGTAGAGGGAGATGATAGCGGTATGCTAAAGCAAAATATTTCTTTCTCTCTCTGTCAGCTTCTGGACACTCCAGAAGGACGTGGAAGACAGTTAGCCTGTCGCCGCATCTACCACAAGTAGGAGGTTCATCGCCAGTCAGAAGAAAGCTATGGGTACCATATGTATGTCCTATTCTGAGGCGACAGAATAGTACATCAGCTCGCCGTGTTCTTGTAGCGGAGGGCCAGTAACCCAACCGCGGCTTAATCAAGTGAAGCTTAATATTTATTTCTGTGTCCCAGAAGCGTTGCCAGTGGTTTCACAGTTTCTTACGTAGAAAGGGTTTTAGATCTGTCGCAGGGACAGTAGCGGTGGGGTTAATAGTGCGCAATATAATTGACCTGGCCATTTGGTCAGCTAACACATTGCCCTCGATGCTTCTATGACCAGGTACCCAGCAAATAGTAACATGGTGGTTGGACATATACGCTGTACACAGAACGGAATACAGCTCAATTATTACCGGATTTCTGAATCTGAACAGGGATCTTAATGCATTTACGACGCTTAACGAGTCTGTAAATATAATTTATTTTTGTATGTTTGATTTCCATATATGCTTCACAGCCGACAATAGTGCATAACCCTCAGCCGTAAATATACTTCTTTCCGGGTGCAGCACACCGGATTTCGAGAAGAATGGTCCGACGGCTGCATAAGCCACCTCTGCATTCGACTTAGAAGCGTCAGTATAAAACTCTACGCATGAGTAGTTGGACTGGAGTTGTCGGAAATACATTTTAATGTGTGCTTCTGGTGCATGTTTAGTGATCTCGGCAAATGAAGTGTCACAATGTATGAGCTGCCACTGCCACGGCAGTAAATGTTTTGTTGTGGGCATAGGACAAAGTTCTAGCAGCGGAACACCCATTTCCTCACTTAAGCTTCTCACACGCAAAGAGAACGGCTTTCTCGCTGCGGGTCGATTATGGTAGAGGGTGGCAGCGGTCATATCGTTTATAGCTGAATAAGAAGGATGCTTTATGTTTGCGCGTACCTTTATAAAATAAGTGAAACTGCTATAGGATCGCTGAGGTGAAGTGACCACTGATTCGACTCTACACAGAGACTCTGGATCGGACTTGTCCTGAAAGCACCGGTTGCCAGTCGGATACCCAGATGGTGAACGGGGTCTAGGAGTTTCAAAGCACTTGGCGTTGCGGAATGATAAATTATAGAGGCATAATCAAGGCGCGACCAGACAAGGCTTTTGTACAAGTTCAAGAGACACTTCCGATCACTACCCCATGTTGTACGTGATAGGAGCTTTAGGAGGTTCATCGCTTTCAGACATTTAAT